TGGAATGTCATCATTATCATCAGTGATGTCACTGCTACTGCTAATGACAATATTAGTATCATTACTGATATTATTACAACTACTCTTAATCTTCTTCCTTTTATTCTTATTTTTTATTGCTATCAGGATCATCAGTATCATTACGATCTTATCAAAATCATTCCCTTCTCCCTTATTGTTTTTGTAATGTCCCGATGTTTATTTAGTATTTGCGATAATGCTAGCAGTGTCTAAAATAATCGTGTACTAAGAACTGCCAAAACAAGAAATGCAAAAGAAATAATAAGACTACACGATTAATAGAAGTATGAGAACAATGAAAGAAGCCAGCCAGATAATCATAAGTCTGATGTAGTCCTACCTAACTGAAATAAAAGCAACATTTACGCAACTATGAGTTCATATTCAAAATTATCACAAAGGTAGAACACGGATATAGCGTTATCTGATAAGATTGGTAATCAGTTAGCATACACAGTAACCACAGCTAAGAATTTATACATTAACACTACATCAACTATAATTTTCACCAGCAATTCATAAATAAATCTACCCATTGCATTCTGATTTAATTATTTATCTAATTGATATCATATTTTCATTCCCGGTCACGAACAAAATGGGGAAAATGTTATGTTTGGAGATTCAAAAAGCGCAGACAATGTTATCGCCTCTACTCAGTGTCAGTGTCTCTCGGAGCCAGTTTATGCAGTAAGGTTGGACGCTGTTTACCGCAAGACTTTCGTTCTCTAGCACGTTTCAACGCAGTGTTCGTAGGTCTGGCCGAGTGAGTATAGTTTATAGCGTTTGGCGGTTACTGACGGAAGCCCTTTTGGCGTTATACAAAATATGGGAGAGAGAGCAGTCCTCATATTCTTGTTTTTTTGGGCATAAACAGTGACATTTCTCCAGTATTGCCTGGTTAGCCTTTGTAAAAAAAAATACAAATTGCGATAAATTTTTGACTCTTGAAAAGAAAACTTAGAATCTATGAGTTATAATAGTGATAATTATAATAGTAATCTATAGTATAATAGTAAGTCCTCCTTTGGAGTGATTTATTACCTGCTGTGTCATTATTCTTATTTTTGCTATTATTGATGTTATTTTTTATATTATTTTCATTATCATTATTACCATTAATGTGATTATATTTGATATCATTATCATGATTATCATTATTTTTTTTCTATTATCATTGTTATCATTATTATTATTATAATAATAATAATTATTATTATAATTATTATTATTATTATCATTATTATTTATTATTATATAATTATATAATTGTTATTATTATTATTATTATTATTATTATTATTATATTTTCATTATTATTATTTTGTTATTATTTTTTCTATTATCATTATTTTTAAAATATTATCATTGTTATTATTATTAGTATTATAATTGTTGTTATTATTATTATTATTGTTATTTTCATTTTTATTATTATTAATCATCATCATTATCATTATCATTTGTTTGCTGTTCGTTATTTTTGTTATGATTTATCATTTCTATCGTTATCAGTACTATTACCGTTATTATCAGTTATTACATTACCTATTATTATTATCACAATTATTATTATTATTATTATGATTATGATTATTATTACCATTATAATTTTTATTATTATTGTCATTATTTTTATTATTCATGTGTGAACATTACTATATTTTTTCTCATTATTATTATTGTTATTATGATCATTATCATTATTGTTATCATTATTATTAATATTATAATAATTTTTCATCATCATCATATTATTTCTATCATTATTATTTTCATTATTGTTGTTGTTGTTATGATAATAATAGTTTTGTTGTTAATATTATAATTATAATTTTTATTATTATTATTATTACTATTATTATTATCATTATTATTATTACGATCACCATCATTAACATTATTATCATTATCATCATATCATTAGTAGTAGTAGTATCATTCTTATTGTTATTGTTATTATCACTATCATCATTATTATCATTATCAATAATACTATCATTATCATCATTGTTATTACTATTATCACTATTAGCATTATTACCAATAACATTGTTGCTGTTGCTGTTGTTATTGTTATCATCACCATCATCATCATTGTTTATTGTCATCATTACTATTGTTATTGATATGATTACTCTTATTGTTGCTATCATTATTATTACAATTTTTATTTTATGCTATTACTATTATTATCGTTATTATCATTACTATTATCTTTATAATGATTACTCTTGTTAGTATTATTGTTGGTATTATTATCATTGTTATCATTAGCATGGTTGTTGTTGTTGTTGCTATTATTATTGTTATCATTATTATTATCATTATCATTTTTGTTATTATTATAATTAATATTATTATTATTGTTGATAGTATTATCATGATAATGTAGTAACGTTAATAATGATTATAGTAATGTTTGAAACAGTAATTACGTTCATGAGAATTACTGTTCTTATCTTTGACATTATCATTTTTAATAATAATTATAGTGATAATGTTTGCAACAGTCATTACATACATGATAATTACTATTCTTATCTGAGATATTATCATTATTATTATTACTGCTTCTGTTATTATCATTATTGTTATTATTATTACTATTATCATTATTGTTATCAATTCTATCATTATTATTATCATTATTGCTATTATCAGTTTTATTACCATTTATCACCATAAACCTCATTATTGTTTGTATTATCATTATTATTTTTTAAATAACCTTGGTATTTGATCCTTTAACTGAAAATTATATTGGTCCTGTTTTTTCCTAATTAGACTGTACCATATAATTTCAAGTTCATCGTCAATGAATTCCATAAAGTTCAACTTGTCGCACCATTTTTTAAATGTTTTTTCTTCATTTTTACGTGTTTTTGTAAGCTATCATTATAGTAATTGATATTCTTCAGTGAAAGCTCAAATTGGGCTATTTTTATGCTGTTGCTTATTATTATATACATATATATAAAACTATACATAGTAGAATGAAAACCTCTAATGAGTAATTTCCTCGGTGTATCCATATGCTAAAGCAACCACCATGATCAATACGTTGAACCCCGATGCTGAGGTGAAGTGGTTCTTCAGTCTTTTTTTGTGACTTAGTAAGCCTCCGAGGATTTTTACATTATTTCTCTTAACTGTTTTCTTTTAGTTGATTTACTGAACTTTTGTGCGAGTCTCTCTTCGTAGTTTGAAGGCTCTCATATTCCTTTTAGATTTTGAATTCCTTTATTCTTTTTCTTATCAATTGTAATCTGTTTTCTATATGTTGTTTCGTCCTAATTGGTCTAGGTCTCAAAGCATCCTGCATGCACTTGCCTTTTGTGAATGCATTGGGAGCATTAACGGGAAACTAGCTATGATATTCTGTCTTTACACCATTTGCCTTTCTGTTTTCTTGCTTTTTACTCTACATAATGGAAACAGTTTGCTCTGAACACCTCACCTTTTATATCATTTTCTGGTTCGGCCTTTTTAGCATCCTTTGATTTTTTTTGTTTCAATATAACTGACAACCCGCCAGTCTGCTTCACTAACGCCATTTCAATACAAGTATTTATTCTTGTTACCTCGTGTTTCGTTTCATGGATTTAACTTTCAGCAGTTTATTTCGTGTAAACCGTACCCTTTCATTTTAAGATTTTTATAATTTAATCAAGCTATATTGTTTGTCTGATTGTTCACCTTATCTTTTCTTTAAGGTGCTGTAAGTAAAAGTACTTCCTGCGATTTTCTATCTATGGATATTTCATCACACTTTTTAGGTGTACTTCTTTTATCTTCACTCACAGGATCCATTTATTATTTTCGTCTGTTTCAATGCTTTCTTATTTATGCAAACACTGATTTGCTTAACTAATAATTGAAATTTGTGTTTGAAGGTCGCCTGAATGTACTGCCCTGCTGGATTCTTCTGAGGCAGGCAGAGTATCCCAAGATGAGTCGAAACAAACGCAGAGAGGCCGCAGACACTATGGAGAGCAGCTCAAACTACCGTCAGTACCACGGGAGTCAAGACAATATCCTCGGAGGTCGAAATCGCCAGCAAGAGGAGAGAGCCGCGTTCGGTGACGCTCGCCTCAGCAGGAGCACTCCGTCAGTCGCCGCCACCCACGCCGCTCCTCAGTCGCCGAGCCGTCGTGGCGGAAGAGACGAGCGACGCGGCCGATCGCCAGTCCGCAACAAGATTAAGCCGGATGGGCAAGCGAAGGCGCAAGCTTATCGCGATTCGAGACAGTACAATCGCAGTCCTTCTCCAGCCAGAAGAACTACCGCTGGGAACAATCGAAGCCGTTCGCCCGGTCGTGAGGCAAGAGGACGGAACAATCGTGGCCAGTCGCCCGGCCGATATGACAGGGGACAGTCGCCCAGTCGGAATACAGGGGCTAGATATAACAGAGGTCAGTCACCAAGTCGAAGTGCAAATGTACGAAATAACAGGGGTCAGTCACCAAATCGCAGTCAGTCTTCAAATCAAAACACAGCTGTACGAAATAACAGGAGCCATTCGCCAAATCGTGGTGCAAACGAACGAAGTCGTGGTCGGTCGCCAAGTAGAAATACTCGAGAGCAATACAACAGAAGCCAATCACCAGGTCGATATAATGGCAGAAGGAACAGTCAGTTATCATCGTCCCGTGAATTAGACAAGCACATCGCCCAGCCCGTCAGCCATCGCTATGAGCCCAGGCACGGCCGTGAAGAAGGGAACATCCTGTACTTCGACGCTGCAACCCTGGAGGAGGAAACAAGCACCGCTCGCCTAGAGGTCCTCAGCATCGTAATCCACGTCATCGTCATGGCCGCGTCGATGATGATCACCATTCCCATGGCCCAAGTCACCATCAGCTGGCAGTACGTGCGCCGACGATGCCCCCTGTTCGTGGACAAAAACCCACAGACCGACGTGAACTGGGGCAACGAGAACATGGCTCCCTGCAATGTGACGGCCTTCCTCCCCCTCC